AAAAAGAGTGGTGCGTGACCTCGCGCGAGCGGGCCAAAATCCTGGTGCGCCAGCGAGATCCATGTCACAGTGTCGTGCGACAGGTCGTAAACGGCGAGCATACTGAGGCCTTTACACACCTGGAGTCCCTTTGGAGCTAAACTGCGCACTGAACATCTGTTCAATATGAACCCTTTCCCAACTGCGTGCTTAATGACACTATAATGACCCCAGGTTCAGTACCACAGTGGGATTTGTGCTGCTGCTGCTGCAGAAGCTCACAGAATGATGTGAATTCAATCAAAGGTAAGCAGAGCAACATGGAAATATAGCAAGGTAGATTTGCTTGCTGCACCTGCATGAGTGGCACTGATATGAACACGGAGCACTGCACATCCTGTAGACAGACATTTAAAGGTCCCCAAACAGGGGGTGGGAGCCCCACAAAGGGGCTGCCAGATAAATCGAAGGGTGTCATAAGATGACGACTCAGGTAAGAAAAACTAATTCTGCTACACTGTTTCTTTGGAGAAATACTGAGTAGTCAGAAAGTGGCTTTTACCTCCTAGGGCCTCTAAAGGGAAAAATCACTTTTGGACTAAACTGTTCATAAATTACAAACGTGCAACTTGGAACAACAGGATACTGCTTCACAAGCAATATAATGTTGGCAATTACTGCCCTAAGTGAAGAAGTCCTAGGGCTACACAGGTGTCAGCAGGGTTCGTTTCTTCCAGTATTATATTGCTGCAGTGGCTCAGAAATCTGAAGTCTCTTCACCTCATTGCATGTGATCTGATCTAACTGTAACGCGCCAACTACAACTCTGCTTAATGCCTCCCTGTTGGTCTACAAACGTACCAACCGCAGCGCTTCACTTCCTGTTTCGTTTCTGTGAGATTTTCACTAACTTTATCTCAATATTGATATCATGACATAGTATATTTTCTGGAAAATCCATTAAGGGACTGTTTATTGGTGATATAACCAGACAGGAATGTTTGTTTGCAGTTAATCGAGCGAATGAAATACCTGACAAACTAGAATACTACACAAATCAAATATTGCCATTAAAATGTCCAGTGTGTAACATTTAAGAAGACCAGAAATGGAATATAATATTCCTAGGTATGTTTTCATTAGTGTGTAATCACCTGAACATAAGAATTGTTGTGTTTTCGTTACCTAAGAATGAGATGTTTTTATCTACAGAGGGAGTGGGTCCTCTTCTACGGAGTCCGCCATTTTGAACTGCCATGTTTCTACAGTAGCGGCTCTAAATGGGGCCTTTTGTGTGTATTCTGCCATTTTTGCCTCCACCCTAGTTTCTCCTTCACACTTCACAGCTCCTTCTCATTCCCAGGTTGTCAAACACTGATATGAACAGTGTCTAGTTGGTTGCAATCTGCCACTACACCTTTAAAACTCACTAAATCCTTCACACTGGCCCTTTCATAAAAAAAGCCATCTAAAACAACATGTTACTGGTTAAGATAAACTGGTGCATTAGATTCTAAGATGCATGGAATAATGGAAGTATACATTTTTATTTATGTTGATATATGCATCATACATCAGCCAAAATATTTATAAAATAAAATAACCACTACTTTAATCCATTTAACCATCAGTACAAGCCACACTTATGTTTTTATAATATCAATAGAGGAAATTAGTATCTAGTTACTTTTCCAAAACTAAATAATTTTTACAGTTAAGCTCGTTGGTCATCTGTTAACCTCCATACTTCATCTGGCTGGTTCATGTGTTAGTAAGCTGGAAAGTATTTTAATAACAAGGAGAACAGTAATGCTTCTGACACATTAAGAGAGAGACAACCATGAGAGGTGGGTTCCTGTCCCCTGTGTTATCTGTCATACAGCAGCACACCAGTGCTACCGGCTCATGTCCCGGGAATGAGTCGCTAAATGCTAAAAGCACCTCCAGCACACCTGTGACATTTAAAACGTAGGACAGGTTGTCTGTCGCCGTCAGGAGCTCTCTATCAGCCGCCACTTGTTACTAAATCTCCTTTGAGCGACCACGACTTGTTACATACACAAAAATACAAAATGTAAAGGAGCTAATGTGTGTCTATAGGTGACATTCCCGCCCCACAGCCTCTCACCTCGTCTCCCTGACCGAACTGAAGACCGAGGTCCACCAAGTGCTCCACCCGGATGAAGCCGTCAGCATCCTCGTCACACACGTCGAAAACCTCCTTGAGCCTCCTCAGAAACAGCAAGAGCTGCTCTTGGTCGGGGAAAACATGTCCTTCCATTGTAGAGCTGGCTCCGTCGGCGGGAGATGTTTTTTTTTTTTCACAAACGAACTGACTGTTAAAGAATCGCGTTGATGGTCGCCATCGTCGTTCCCGTCCTCCTCAGCTCCGCCGGACCGACTGGCGCTGCTGCCGCTGCTGTGACATCAGCGCAGCGCTCGTTCAAGAGGCGCGAGTTACGGAAAAGGGCGATGATTTACGAGTTGGGCACGAGGCACTGCGTCACAAGCCAGCTGCTAATTAATAATCCAGGTGTGTTACCACCCGCCCCTTGCTGCCTCCATGACCTAAAATGCCCTTTGAGAGGCTCGTTGAAGCTCTCTCTCCACTCCAGCTCCACTGAAAACCGTGTCATTAAATAAACGTGTCAAATTGTATGGAAGCCGATTTCTGCCCAAATAAAATAGATTAAGTGCTAGGAATGACAGCAATAAAAATACTTCTGGTAGGTTATAAGATAAAGATATGACTTAAAATGATAGTAGGTAACTTCTGAGAAAGAAAATTATTTATATAAATAAAAAGTTTTCATATGAGCAATAAAACATTTTTAAAAAGGCCACCATATAATCTCATACATGATTAGAAGGTGAGTGGTATTCAGTTTGTTGCAATCTGCAACTTTACCGCTGAATGCCACTAAACCCTAGACACCGATCCTTTCAGTATCCTCTCTACACTAACATTTAACAATATCCCATAAATGTTACTGTATCATTCCCTGCAAGTGTAAAACTCTAATGTATGTTTATTTCTTGTAAACTGTAGATGAGTAATGCATGGTATACAATTGACCTCATCATTTTGACTCACTATCTCAAACTTAGTGTCAGTTTTGACTCATAAAAGTTAAAAATGTAACTTACCTAGGAATTAAAATATATAACTACTATCTACTATAACTAATTTCAATTTCTTGCATTCTTAGTATTTCAACCATTTGTTTCTTTTCCTGACAGAAATGGGCTTCCATACAATATAACATTTCCACATTGGAATAATACAGACATCCACCCTATAGATTCAGTGTTTTATTAGAAAAACTGTTTATACAAGGCTGATATCCACAGTCACATTACTGTACAAAACATAAAACCATTATGTCCCAGTTCTGGAAACTGGAATCATTCATTTCACTTTCATATTAAAAAACAGCATTTCATATCTAACCAAATTTAAATTGAAACAATTCTAACATTTTTCAATATTGACACATGTACTCTGCTATGCAGGGGTTCTTCTGTGCAAAGAGATGACTTACTTAGAAGCAGAGAGGAGAATATAATCCATCATAATCATATCCCTTAGCTGTCATATGCAATATAAAGACTCACAGTTTAACGCTGGAGCACAATTCAAAGGATCCTGAAATAAAATAGAGAATAGGGAAATCCATCTTGTCAAACAGGGGGCATGTTCAAAGTCCCTGTTTGAACAAATTTAAATGATCAGCCGTGGTTCCAGCAGGGATTCCCACCGTTCTGTCACCTGTGGCAGGAAAGTGAAGATGTTACCTCAACTGTGATTAGATTAAAACCGGGTCAGTATGGATATTACAGGAAACCGTACCACAAACAGCACCCAAATGACAACAACTGCTACTTTCTGCATATGCGGCCGTTTTTGTCCCCTATTTTCTCCTGTTGGGATGAGTAATTGAAAAGAGGGGATCACTGGGTGAATGTGCTCACTATAAGTAGAGTGAAGGGGGCTAAAACCTGGGCTCAAAGACAAAACAAAGGCTTTGGCTTTAACTGCTTCTGCTGACTGCCAGCGTCACTGTAAGGGTTATCTACTGCCAATCGTACAGACAGGGACCCAAACAATTCAGCCTCAGTTATTGTTTAATAATCTTTAATAATCTTTAATAGTCTTTAATAGTTTACTTGTACGTATGATGATGAAAGCGAATGAGTTGTTTTTGTTGGTGTGAGTGGTCTAATTTTGTTTTAATTTAAGGGTGTGTCCAGTTACCATGTAGTTTGTGGAATCATCATTTACTTTTCATACCTCGGGCTGGGTGAGTACTCGATTCTGATTGGCGCTGCCGAGGGGTGTCCATTGATTTCCTGATTTTAGGACACAGTAAGGTTAGTTCCAGTGAAGCTGTCTGTTCCCCATTCTAAATTAATGCACTGCAAAATCTGAATCTGCAGATCTTGATAATGATTTGGGGACAGCAACATGGGTGGAGGCTAGCTCGTCTTGCTGTGAGACATACTGTCAAACTATGTTTACCCTTATCGTATCTAAGGTTGATCGAGCCTCTCGTCAATGAGTAGATGCATGCTTCTTGCATGGTGATACATACAAAGTAAATAGATCCTACGTAAAACTGCTCACAACAAGGTCTGTGTATTAAGTATTAAGTAACCGGGTCATGATTTCTGGAAAGACACATTGCTGCTTTTGAGGTGAAGTGTCCCTTTGTATATTTGATCTTTGGACAGAGTCCGGCTAGGTGTTTCCCCCTGCTTTTAGTCTTAATGCTAAGCTAGGCTAACCACATCCATACTTTAAGGACCAGTGTGTAGGATTTAGTGGCATCTAGAAGTGAAGTTGCAGATTGCATCTCAACTACGCCTTTAACAAGTGCCATTTATGAGATTATTAATAATATAGTAGCTACAGTACTGCGTATGCTAAGGCTTACCCGAGAGCTTCTGGACACGGCATACTCCACTCTCTCGGAGCCATCCGGGTTCTGATAGACCAAGTCAAACTTGCCAGGCTCTACAGGAGCTGAGGGAGAAGCAGCAGGTTAAGGGTGATTGCAAATGTGTGGAACATATTTTCAAATACTGTAAAATCTGCTCTGTTCCTTTTGAGAAAATCACATTTAAAACATCATTTCTGCTCAGAAAGTGTCAAATTGCCTGACTTCCCACGTGTGGAATTCCTGTCTCCTTAACCTATAATAACCATAATACTGTATATATCCATGTAGTCTAACAATGTTATTTCATGATTTCCACCACCTTTTTGCTGGATGCTGAGCTTCCATCAAAGATTTGGAAGAAAACCAACCTTTTGCATCTTGCTATATCATCTATGAACCAGGTATTTTAAAATCGGATTCACATATATGTGTCAGTGATGAAATGGTCCTTACCTTGAAAGGCATTATGCACCTCCAGCTCAATCTGTTTGGTTGTGGGGTCAAAGCTCACAATCTTTCCCTCCTAAAACGTACAGCAACATGGTTGGTCAGTAGTGCGCGATTCCAGTATAAATGAATGTATATATAGTCAAAGCTGTGGTCGACATTAGATTACTGCAGCAGAAATGATTACACTCACCTTATATTCTGATACCTCTGGTGTATAGTTCTCAGTTAGCTCCAGCAACTGTCAACACACACACACACAAACACATACACACAAAGTTCAGTCTCTTACTTTTGCAAAGCATTGTGCTCTGAATGATTGAACACTACTGATTTTGCTTTATTGGTGGCAGATATATGAATGATAATATAGATTAATAACAACAATCATAAATATAGCTGATTACTGCCTGTGAAATAATTACCTTGGATGTAAAAAGAATAATTCCCCTTAAAACAGCATTAAAAGCTGTAATTAGGGCCTTAAAATCGGTTCACATCAGAAAGTGGCACAGTCATCTGCATGTCTTCATACATTATTTGTCCCTTGAAACATGGAAGCATGGGGACTACTAGCTGGCCAAGCTGGTAAACTATTGTAGCTGGCGAGCTGGATGCTAACACGCTAGCCACCCGGGAACATGCTAGTGCTAGTCAGTCACAACAGCTCTCTGGGCTTCTGTCTATTTCCTCTGCACTGCACCATTAACTCTCTGTTCTCAGGACATAATATCAACATCAAATAGTTATTCAAGAGGGGGAGCTAGCGATGCTATGTGTTAGCTTGCTAATGGGACATTAAGCTAACACGCTTAGTGTTGAAAATTTTTTTGCATACATGTCTGGAGAAGATCTTTAAACTACTACAGTATGTATGATAAGCAGGCTCCTGTGTCTGTGTCTCAGTTATATATTAAGGGTGTTGCTCACTTCCTTACACATCTTTATGATTGAATGGAGCTTCTCCAGGACTCTTTGTGAGAAACAGAGTGGATCAATGAGCGGATTTCACTAACAGAGCAGACACACTGGAGCTAATGAGACTAGACTAAGCTTACCTTGAAGGCAATCTTCTGCCCCACCTGTGGAGGGGCAGCTAGCAGGGGCATAGAGCTGTAGTCCTGTTTGGGAGCACTTTCTGCTCCGTTCTGCACACAGAGACACACACCAGAGAGTATTAATGCCTTTTCATCCACAGTATTTCATAACGGACGCATAACACAATGACCATGTTTACAGTGACACATGCAGACAGACCTGGAGGACCACTGACATGTTGGTTATTGAATCAGTCTGGTAGGACGGCTCCATGGCTCCATTATAGCTGAACTCAAAGCTGCCATTGTGCCCTCTGGCGCCCCCTCTACCGTCGCCCCTTCCCCTCTCTCCAGGGCCACCACGAATGGGTTGTGCCCGGCCTCGGCCTCTCCAAGACGACTGACTACTACCCCTGCCCAGCTGCTGCATCGGCCGCCGGATGACCAGCTCGATCTCCTCCTCGCTGCTTGAGGTACAAGGCTCCGCCGGTTTGCCACGAGGAGGCGCCGTTGCGCTCGCAGCCTGTTTCTGTGCACAGTTTGTGGACTGCAGGGCGGGAGGAGCCTGCTGACATTTTGAGTTTTCACTTATTCTCCCTTTAGGGGTTGTGGAGGTTAACGCTTTGCTTTTTGGCGGGCTTTTCACACGGGTGGCTTCATCGGAGGAAGAGTCGGTTGCTGAGGAGGAGGACGAAGGAGGGTGAGGTTTTTTCTGGGTGGGTTTGGCAACCGGAAGTGTCTTGGAAGCAGCAGGGGTGGTGGTGGAGGGGGTTTTGGGTGCAGGTTTTTGGGCTGGGGTTTTTTTTGGAGCTTCATCCTCTTCGCTGCTGCTGCTACTGGAATCTGAAGAGGAGACATTCGGTGTTTTTGCTGGGGGCTTCTTGGTGCTTTTCACCGGCTGCTCTACCTTAGCTGGGCTTTTTTTGGTAGAGGCAGCTGGTTTGGCGGTGACAGTAGGGCCATTTTCCTCTGCCTTCTTTTTTTTCTTCTTCTCTTTGCGCTTTCCTTGTGACTTCTTTTTCTTCTCATCACCTGAAGCCTGTTTGGCATCCCTCTCCAGGCTCTCCTCGCTCCCTTGTTTTTTTTTCCTCTTTTTTTTCTTCCATTCTACGCTCGCTCCATTTTCTCCTGGCCCGTCCTCCCCTGCCGGTCTCTGTCTCTTCCTGCAGTTTTCGCTTGCTGTATCTGGACGGCTGCTGTGTCCGTTCACCTGAGACAGACAGTCCACCTTCACCCTGGCAAGTTAAAAATGAAGATAGATGAACAACTCTGGAGCATCTGGAAACACACATTTAAAGGAAGAGTCGAGCATTTTCAGAAATATACTTATTTGTCACGTTGCCCAGAGGCAGCTTTAAGTCACACTACAGCTAACTACAAACATGAAAACTCCATTTACTGATGAAGGAAAAGAAGTTAAAGCCCTCCAGGGTTGTGCATGTACTCTCAAAGTTCCCATTAAGTACAGTGAACACATCAGTACTTCTGTACATGGCAGTTCGGGTTAAGGGAAAACAAGCAGAGGTGCCATTTCAAACAGCAAAGACCACATATTCAGAGTCTGTTTAATGACTTTTTGGTGTCAAAGAGCCCCAAATTGATATAAATTAGGGCGTGGACCCGTATTTGGTAAGATCAGGATTTTCAGGAATCCCTGTCTGCTTGTGGCAGCAATGACAAGAAAACTGAACACTGAAAAAAAATAAGCCCATTAATTATATATGATTGTTAGAAAACAACAACAACACATAAATACAGACAGAACTGTATCAAAGTTTCCCTAAAGAGCATCAGGAAAAATCATCTGTAATCACAGGGAATAATCTGATCGTCCAACTGTTGTTACTGTACACTTTATCATTTGATTTGTACTGTTATTGTTATTCATTGAATAGAATGGGAAATATCTATACAATATGTCACTCAGTCACTGATAGAAAGGGGGTCCCTGAAGGAAAAAGGTTGGGAACCACAGCTCTAGGTCATAATACATGAGCTCATGTTATAATTTAGAGGTTTTCTGAGACAACAAACCAGGGGCTTTGTCTTTATCTTTAGTTTGAAGGATGAGGAGGACAGAGACTCACTGAACTCCATGCTCGTTTTATCCGGGGCCCCTAAAACCCTCAACCCCCCGCTAGAGCTGACCTGAGAGCTGCTACCCATTAAAACCCTCAGTGCAGCGCGCGCAGGTGGCAGGGTACGACAACTAGCAAAAAAAAAAGAGCACGCGCACCTGACGCTGTCGTTATCCCGCACCACGAGCACGCTCTCGGTGTGCGGCAGGTAGCAGTCCTCTACGAACAGCTGGAGGATGCTCCTGCGGCTGAACGCAAACTTGTCTCTGATGACGCTCTCCAGGTCCCCCACCACGCGGCACCTGTTCAGGTCCACGAGCAGCCAGCACATGCGGCAGTCCGCCACAGCCGGCGGCGGGTAGTCAAAGTGTAAGCGCACGCGGATAAAGTTGGTACTGTGAGCAGCCATGACGGCTACCTCCACTCCGGAGCGCGAGCCAATACACACAGCTCGTGTTCCGCCGGCAACAGGAGAAGTACTTCCGATCGGGGTTTTCAGAATAAGAGCGTAGAACTCTTACATTGTGGGGAAAGTCTGTGGAGAATCTGAGCTAATGGCACTTCATTAGGATCTTAAACACCAACTTAATGGCTTTTTTGTTTTTTCAATTCTAAAAGTCGTTTTTGTCTTTAACTAATCTTTTTTTGGGGGGGAAATAATAATGGTTTTTATAACTTTTTAAAAAATCTATATTTAAATGTAGCCCATTTTGTCCTTTCTGGCTTTTATTTTCAAGGGCCAACGTTTAAGCGGAAGTCTAGGTCATTAGTGATTTGGGCCAACTCTTTTACAACACTGCCCTCTGTTGGCGTGGAGGCTGTTATTACAAGCTAATACAGATGTGAATCTCCACAGAGCCAGCTTCTTCTCTCGGACAGATTGGGGGAAAGAAGGAGCAAAGACTAATACAACAGCATGTTGACTGCAATGATTTAGGCAAATAGTAATTCATTAGAATGACTTCAATAGTTAAAATGTCCTTGTAGCCAGCTTGAGGGGAAATTCTACTGTCAAGTTAGAGCCGGCACCAACAAAAAATATAATATAATATAATATAATATAATATAATATAAGGTAAACAAGCAGGGCTTTCCCCCTCTCCCTTAAAATGATGGTTTATAAAATATTTATTAAAATAAGAGGAAATGAAGCAGCTGAACTGGAAGATTTTTTACTTTGATTTGTTGTTTTGTTATATGCACTGTATCTTCTGTATATTTGTGTTAAGGTCCCCCTTGAAAACGAGATGGTTCATCTCAAGGGGCTTATCCTTGCAATAAAAATGCCTCTTACTTTGGTAACAAAATTAGAACCCAAATATGGTGACACGTGATGATGAATTCCCATCACTAGGGATAATAGGTGCTCAATAGCTTATATTTGCCCCAGGGACCCCTAGCAGGTTACTCTGGCCATGTATTAGCAAAAAGTTAGTTTAAATCCACACTTTATTTGTTTAAATTCATCTTTTGTATTATATATTTTAGCTGTTTTCTATGGAAGCCCATTTCTGCTAATGTGATGTAAAAAAAAAAAAAAGAAAAAAAAGAAAAGAGGGTAAGTTTTGAGTCTTTCTCATTTTTTTGAATTTGTATCTAAATATTTTTACTTAGTCTATATTCTAAGTAATATATATATATATATTATACTAAGTCTATATTTTGAGAACGTTTCTCATTTTAATCACATAAAGAATCCCTTTTATGGTCACATTGGCGCAAATGGACTTCCATAGGTTTCCCCCTTTCATTACACACTGCAAAGTAAAACGTTGAACAGTGAACTATGGAAAAACAAAACACGACACCGGTCAGCTGACCCCGGGTGCGGTCATGTGATTTCTCACAGCAATAAAGCGCTGCGGATCAGATCCGTCTGTAGACTCACGCTTCAACAATGGGCCGGGTAGCTGCCTCCAGTTTGGTGTTTTTACTCGCCATTATCGTGGATAAAGGTACGAGTTCTGGCTTTTCTATCGTACATTTACACGTTCCTTTAAATCTAATGTTCTTCTGAAGTCAGACATACCGAGCAAGCAAGCACTGGTTTCGTATTATCTCATGCCTTGACTCACTGCAAAGCGAAAGTAAACGCTGATTTATGCTGTTCATTTTAATAGCTTCTTGCGACTATAGTGGTGTATCCCTTCAGTAGAACTGCTCTGGAAGTCACACTGTAACTGAACACTGAAAAAGTTAAAACTGCGGCTGTAATTGAATCCTGCAGGGATCCCCAGTCCCCTGGCAGGGAAAGAAGCCTGGAGCTATGTGGAAGTGAGAGACGGGGCCCATATGTTCTGGTGGCTGTACTATGCTGACAGCCAGTCTGCAGGGTACAAGGACCTGCCCCTGGTCATGTGGCTGCAGGTAGGACACATGCACTTAGACTAATGTTCCAAAGCATCTTTTATTGTCTTGTGTTCCTGAATGTGGTCTTGCCTAACTCCCAGGATGCCCCGTGCGTTAGAGACATCAGTTTGCTGAGACCCAGCCGTATGAGTTGAGGTCTTTCTTGGCAGTGAACCCCATGTCTGCCTGTGTTCTTGTTTAAAGTTGTGTTATTGAACTTAAAGAGAATCCACTGATTTGTTTTGTTTGAGACAATAACCCTGATGTCATCAGGGTTATTGTTGTCAATCTCAGCTTAAACTCAGAGACAACAAATGTATAACAAAGCCTATGTTACTAATCCAAGGCAAGGAGTTTGACAGCCATTGATATTTGGTATAAATGGCAAAATGTATATATTTTTCTCTCATTGGGTTCTGTTGCCTCGATTGATGACAGTTCCTCTTTTTGTCTGAAATACCAAAGTATCGAAGGAAAGATACTAAAGGAAGTGCAATACTAAAATGCAGATTATAGCATGTTTTCAGTCTCTGCAAGGTGATTTTCATATCATTAAAAACAATAAAAGAAATATTTGAAACAGTGACCGCAAAGATTGGAAACTCTATGGCATGCAATAACTGGTTTGTTGGTTAGTCCATTTAAAGATCCCCTCCATACATGTATGACATGTATACAAATAGTCTGCTTGACACAATGTGTGTCTGATTCAAATCTTTTAAAGTCTTATCCTGCTCCTACCTCATTATAAACTCCAGAATCTGTGAATATGCAAATGTTTTTCATTTCTAAAGTTTTGCTGCTGGACACAAGATGTCTCCTCCTTCACTGTAAAGTCCATTCTCAGTGTATGTGCACTGGTGGCTTCAAGTTTCACTTCTACATCACATGTACAAAGTTACCCACTGGAACCCTGTCCAGACACATTAAATACGAGTTACCAATGAGCCAACGGAAAACTTTCCCACTTTCCAGCATGGATTGAAAAAATCCTCCACCAGTTCAGACTGACCCAAACCCAGATTTTCTGACCCCTGGGAGGGTTCAATTAAGGTTGCAACCCTTTTAAACCATTGATATGGTTCCCTGTTCCCCCAAAAATTCTTTGGGGTGACAACAGGAATGGGCTTTGTTTCCAACTTACACAGGTTACTGGGTGAAAAAAAAGGGCCGAAGTTGTGATAGTAAACAGAGTGTCTATTAATTTTTCAACTAGAGGAAAGTTATAATACCCACAAAGTGCTTTTTACCTCCAAAAAACAAACTCCAAATGACCACGCTATTTTTCCCCCAAAAAAGATAGGTCTTCCAAAAATTAAAAACCAATTATTTTTCTAAGGTGATTTTGATTATTCCAGAACACAATCTTCGATGGTTGTCGACCCAGAATTTTATACATTAACCATTAGGATCAATGTTTTACAAGTTTCAAGTACCAATGCTAAGGGTCCTCCCTAAACGCATGTCAAGAATTTTTATTCATAGTTTGTCAGTCTGACACTGGAAAGGATGTTTTCACATATCCAATTTCTGGTTTCTTGAATAGGGAAATAGATTTCTCTGTGAATCAATTGAACATCCTGATTTTAAAGCGGGCGGATCCATTAGGAGTTCAGTTGAAAATGAAATATATTGTACAGCTGTGATGTAGAAAATTCTTGAAGCCACTCATAGTGCATCATTCCACTGAGAATGGACGTTTACAGTGAAAGGCAGGAGACATCTTTTGTGCCAGCAGCAACCACATATTGTGAAACCCTGGAAAAAACATTTGCTTTTAATCATAGAGAGTTCTGGAAAATCTTTAGCTATTTATCAATTGAGTGTAGGGCACGGATAGACTTTAAAAGATTTTGAATCAGACCCACGACAGTTGTGTCAAGCAGACTATTGCTATACATGTCATACATGTATGTGAGGGGATCTGATTAAAAAATCGGATCGAATACGGGAGGAACGAAAAAACCTAGTTGTATTGCACATGCCATAGAGTTTCATCTTTCCCGTCGGTCACGTTCAACTATTTCTTTTTATTTTTGGGTTTAATGATATAGAAAAATCACAACGCTTGGCAGAGACTGAAAACATGCTTACTAATCTGAACATCTTTTTATTTAGTATTGCACTTCCTGGGCCCTCTAGTATCATTAATCCTAAACCATCCAGAGGCTTGTACTTTTGGTATTTCAGACAAAAAAAATCATGGAACTTGCTCATCAATCGAGGCAACAGACCCAATGAGAGATAAAGAACGGGATCCAAATTTTTATATTTTATACATTTCTGCCATTAATTACTTCTCCTCCATT